CGGCTCATGGGAATAATGATGATCATTATGGTTGTGGCGGTCGACGAATTGTGATAGTGCAGACTGAAGAGGCAACTCGGAGATGGGAAGTCGCTGTCTGCCCTGCGCTGAGGAGGGGTGAGTATTTGGGCCAGAAGATAATTGAGGGGAAATTCTTATCTGTTTGGTTTGTCCATTTGCTTTCCCTCTCTGCCGTAAATTTGCTGTCTGTTCTTCGCCGAAGCACATCCTGACATTGAAGAGGAAAGAGAAAAGTCATTGGTGTTAGTGTTGATATTTGACTGCCATAGCACGACACGTCAGCAGGGTAGTCGTTCGGCTGGCACGAAGACCAATGAACGGTGGTCTGTTGCTGCATACGGAGGTGGAAGGAGGAGGAAGTTGTTCGACAGAGCCTACGATTCCTCAGAAGTGGTGATATGTAAGTGGAAGGGTCGTTCTTATGGCCCCGGTCGCCTTCCAGATCCACCTTTCCTGCCGACTGCCCAGAATCTAACATTCACCTTGGGCAGGCAAGACCCAGGGCAATGGACATGACAAAGCACCTGAAAGGTGTTTTCTTGAACGCCTGATTCCGTTAAGGTCGATCCTTTGCGCCAGCCAGCAAAAAAACAATCACATCCACCACCACATACATGGCATAACCGAGCACACTGTCCGAAGGCAAAGACTGGGAGGAGCAGCAGTATCTGTCTAGTGCTTTGTCTCGAAACCGGCCACCTGTTACAGCCTGCTTGGAATCCGAACACCTTAATCTCTGACTCAAGCAGTGTCGTGATTGCTTCAACGGTCCAGCAGGTTCACCGCTCGTCACATCAGCCTAACTACACAATCACCAAACTCTCCACAAAAAGCAGGATCACGAAATTGACTCAAGGGACCAAAAGCAAAACACACAACACCAGGTATTCGCTGGTCGTCACCGACCCAACTACTAATCCGGCCCTCATTGGCTTATCTATGGGAGAGCGGACGGGATCCCGAGTTTTCCAATGGGTATGGTCGTATGTGATTGTTCGGGAGTGCAGAGTTGACCATACTCCTTTCCAGACCATGGCACCGAGCCACAGCTGGAAACCGGCGTCAATGGTGGAACCAAGACATATGCGTTGCAGTATTAGCTGCGTCTGCGTCGAATTGATAGTGTATCATTGCTGAGGTCACGACTCCTTAGAGATAGACGGCTCAAGGTGGATTCTCATCATTACATCGCAGGAGCCGTGACCATGTCAACGTTGGCGCAAAGATTCTCGTTGGTTGCCCCGGTGCGGCACCAGAATCTTTCACACGGCCTATCTCCATCATGGAAGATTTCAATCACGCCGATTCATACTCCGTGTCATGTCCGGCGAAGTGAGAACTAGAAATGTGGAGCACCTCCCACGGTCGAGAATGCGGGTCGCGAGCCCCCCGGATTCACGCTGGTTCGTCCGGGTCTGGTGAAGGTAACGTCTCCACGCGTCCATTCCTTCCATCACGTATCGTCTGAGAAGCAGGGAATAAAATAACTTAGGGGTATTATCGTATAGTCACTGTAGGGGCATCGACGTATATAAAGAGAACGGTTGTCTATTAGAAATAGGAAATAGGTACGAAGCTCGCTCTAATATAGAGGGTATAAGTAAAGTAGGCCTCGGTAATTATATAACCGAGGTCACGTGACGTGCGGTAAGGCCATGGATGGTTGAAGCCATCACGACAGGTGTCAAATTGCCATGAATCTTAAATTGCATTCCCGCGCTCGAGCTGCACCTAACGTCTGTTTTCGCCTCGCAGATTCTCGAATATCAGTCTCTTAGTCATAGAAATGAATCAAGTTACCTGACATGGTCGGGATATGAATAACACTGTATGTGCTATCGAGTTACTTCCCGTCGCTGGATCTTATATTCCACCGTTTAACTTAGTGTCACCGCGCTCGCGCATCTAACCACTCAAGCCCAGTTCATCCCCGGCCTCACGCGTCAATCGTCACAAAGTACATATCGTTATATCGTTGTATCGTTATATCTTTGCATCTTTGTCATCTTGATCGCGTATGCCTCTCTGAAGACAAAGCGATAAACACAATTCTAGGCGCATATTCAGACATGCCAAAAGCCATCGCAGGTCTTATTTTCACGATTCTATCAACGCCTTCTATCAAGCTCATGGGATTTGTTCACTGAGAAGCCTCCTGCATGGTAAATATAGATCAGGGATTTTCAAGGGATCTGAAATGTTAGGCGCCATTTTTGCTTCGTCCACGCGTAGCATAGAGTGACCAGGTCTCGGGATGAGGAAAAATGCGCGGGAGGAGGATGAACAAGGCCGATCCTCGAAGCGGATTTACGCATTTTGGAATTCGGGACAACAAACGATGCCAAACAGATACGGCCATAACACCGTGGATCGGAACGCCCAATTCTTGACTGTGGATGAGGTAAGCCGACAATACTTCATGCCTGTCACTTAATGGCCTTTCTGAACATCAAGATCTTCACCGGCAACCTCAAGCAACATTCAGAATCGTGTCACAAGCACCTTGTTTGCCAGGATTAGGCGGAAGGCTTTTCTCCTAGTCATTACGCGTGGGTGACTCGATCCTTGCCCGGAAGTGGCAGAGCGAGGTGATTTACCGTCGAATTGGCTGGAGGAGGTGCTTGCCCTTGGATTGGCAGAAGAGGAATTGCTTGAAGAAGTGCCGAATGGTGCTGTTGTCAGTTCAAGTATTGAAACTTCTGGTACTCTATTGTTTGTCCAACTACTTGCGGTCGGGGTGGCTAAGAAAGGAGACTTACAATCGGGCTGGCACAAGGGGACACTCACGTCAAATGAGTTAAGCTGGAAGTGACTGAAGGAAGTGCTGAGAGTGCTGGCCTTTGCCGTCGAAGTGGAAGCGTCTGGAAGTGTCCGGCAACTTCCCGTCGACTGAGAGAAACATCTAGCACTTTTTTCTGTTCATCAAGCCCTCTTCCGGTTGCTGAAGAGCCAGAAACGCGGGAACAACAACAAATCTAGGCTTCCTGCTGTTTTAGTAGCAAACAAAGAACATGGACGGTAGGTAGAGGCTTTTTCAAGATCCAAGGGATGCCTTAGAAGGGAAAAGATGAGGGCTGGAGACTCGGGCAGCTGTTGGATCTCGGTTCTGGTGTTGGAGGGCGCGCAGCGAGTCAACCTTTCTCGGTGGGGAATGGTGAAAGTTGGATTCTTTCACGGAGGTCTGGCGAAAGGAAGCCTTTTCGCGACGGCCAGCGATCTGGCGATTGAAAGGTTTTCGGTGAAGCTCTTTCCACGGGTAAGTCTGGCAGATGAAAGCTTACTAGGGTGACTTTTCCGCGGCCAAATCTTTTTCTGGCGGAAGGACGCTGTCTGGCATGCTGGAGACCCGAAGAGCTGATTGAAAGCAGCTCGTTCTGCAGAGCATACTGACAGGATAATAGCTTATCGAAGTGAGAATTCTGGGACGACGTCAACTTGCGGCAGAAGGAGGTGCTAAAAGTGGAAATTTCCCGAAGCGAGCGGTCAGAAGAAATCCAGCGCAGAGCAATTGACGCTAGAGAGGGTCTTGTCGAAGTGACATCTTCCTTGGGAACTAATGGTCTAGCCATTGAGGACTTGTCAAAAAGAGCTCCTCCCACAGGTAATTTGTGGCAGAAAGGAGCTTGTTAGAGTGACATCACGGTATCGAGGTCAGCTTCCGGCGGAAGGAGGCCATCTTCTTAGCGGCCAACATTCTAGCGATCAGTATGGCGATTGAAGTGGCGGCTGGGGGTTTGGAGAAGTGACTTTTACATGGAGGAACTCGGGCGGAAGGACGTCTGTGTGGTGGAAGGCTGTCTCGATGGCTTCAGACTAGACAACCTGTTGGTCAGTGTCGACGGAGGAGAGATTGAGGTAGCGCATATGGAACGAGTATTGCCAGTCCCGACGGCCTTAATAAGGTAAACAGGAGAAAGGGCTCGTGAGATGGCTCGGAACCGCTTCTTTTGTCGGTCATGCCCCAGCTGACCTGTGGTGGAAGAGGGCGCTTACTTCAACCACTGCTGAGTGCCCATGTTGGTCTTAACTTCCCTGCGTCCCAGCCGGTACGAGATTCAATGATTGTAACTTGACTCCTCTGCGTATTGGAGATGTGGACGGAGGAAGTTAGTGGGCAGAGCCTGCAATTCCTCCGCTTGGTGTAAGTACGGCACGACCACCTTCCGACGTCCCTTTTCTGCCGGTAATAGTACCTTCTTCCAACGTGTTCTTTTTCCCTGGGGTACATCCGGCCGTTTGATTCCCAACAATGGATGGAATAAAATCTTTCCTGGCTATTTAATCTAAGGTTCTCTGCTCCTCACACCCTCTGTCGCGATCTTTACCGGTATTTGTTGCCCTGTATCTTCGTTTCCTCCTCGTACCGCTCGTACTCGTCCTATCATTGGTGGCGACCGCAAAGCCGACGACCTTCCTAACCTAACTCATCCACCCTACAACAACAGCTTCCCTGGCCGTCTCTGATGTGTCGACGGATATTCTGCTATCAATAGGCATACGACGCAGGGGAGAAGCTCACAGAGGCCATACCTTAGTTACCCCTTCGTACCTCCTGTACTCTCTCACCCAAACATCCTTGGCAGCAGCCGCAGACCCGACGATCTTCCAGTCTCGCCCACCAGAACAGCACCCCTCGCCGTCTCAAAGACGCTGGCGGGTGATCCGCACCTATACGAAGGCTATTCCGCCAGAGACGTTTCTTCCCTAATTAGACAAATCACTCTTCAAGTCGTCATTTTGACTTTAAAAATCAGTCAACACAAACGGGAAGGCAGAAGGTGCAGTGGAGGGAATTTGGCTCTCAAGAAGGTAGGCGCTCCAGACAGGAAGGAGGTGGTTCGACACGCCTTCCTCCGGAAAGTGTCGGAGAAATAGAGCTCCGGGCCAGAAGTGGCTGTTGCGGCGGTGCAGTGACGTGTAGCCCGACATTTGCTTGAACGAACCTTGCATGGGCGCGAGATACCCTTGAATTCCCGCCCTTAGTCTACCAGCAGCATCGGGGGCGAGTCAACTGATGTTTGAATCTCCTTCTTGCAGAACTCCGTGAACACTAACGCGAGCAGCAGCGTCGTCAGTGGCTCGATCTGCAAGTCGGTACCTGCTAATGGCCTTGCCTGGGTACATCAACATGAAGATGGTCTGAGATGTTGCAATGAAGTCCCCGATGATTTCCTCACTAAAAGTTCTGCCAACCTAGAATCGACAGCCCGACCATCATGGTGAACGAGGTCAAAATCATGAAGATGTGCATATCCCTGTCAACCGTGCCATATGCGATGAACAACGGGGAATTCACCGATGTGAAGAATGGGACGACGAGGTTCATACCCAGTTCAGCCCACAGAACCGAGACGAATGACGTCTCAAGCTCGGTCTCAGGGGCGTGAGAGTACTTGTGGGCGATGCAGTACGGAAGAGACGCCCTGAGTGCCGCCGAAAACCTGGCTTCGAAACTCAAGAAGCACCTGAAGGCGGTCGACTACCCGAACACCCAATGACTCCCACCCTTCGCCAGAGTTCCATTCCTTAGCATGAAGAACGCCGTCGCCGGTAAGGGCATCGAGCTGGTGAACGCACCGTTGAGGTGTGGCTCGTGATGCGATGTTTCGGAGCACCTAGCCCTCGACGGATATGTCAAGATCAGATCCAGCAGCAAGGCTCCCAGCACCGTGATTGCTACGGAGTGCATGAGAATGAGGGACACTGACAAGATCGAAAATAAAGAAATGCATAGGCTGAGCGCGCACATATTATCGACCGACGCCTACTTGTCCGTCGACATTGGGCCCTCGATCAGTGTCCCGGTGTAGGCCTCCGAGACGTGCAACCCTCTTCAAGCCTGTCTCAACCACACGCAAGAAGAAGTTTATAAACATGCGAAACTCCTCATGCATTCACGAGAACGTCGTCATGAACATGTCCGCTTCTAGCTTGTCAACGGAGTCTGGGTGCTCGGTATCGTAGAGAAAAGTCTTCTCCCCTATCAGCCCGGTGAGGCCCATTGCCACGTAGTACCTTATGCACTTTCTCGTGCCCAGAGCCCAATGAAACGCCGTGGAATCAACGACGACCTTTCTGCTATCCATGATGGACCCCGCGTGGACGACACAGATGCCGGTCGACCTGACCCACAAAATGGCTTTGTGTTTCACGCAGTACTCGTCGGACGCCGACTACCAGATGAACAGGTACGTCCTTTTGTTGTCCAGCGGGTCGGGGTTCATCGACTGACGCTTATCGTTGACGAGAATATCGATCATTCCGTACGCGTCTAAGATCTCGGATGGCCCCGATGCAGTCAAGGATCTCACGGTCTTTCCAACGGACGCAGCGTTGTTTAACTACACGAGAACCTTAGTCCACCACATCGTCAATATGCTCTTGGAGTTGCCGAGGATCCTTCTTCATCACGCTGGCATCATGATGCACAGTCGAGTACTACATCGACCTCTCGTACCCTCAAGACATTCATGATGATGCACGTGTATTGGAACTCGTGCTCGTCGGAGACTCTGTGCTTGTCTTCTATATCATGCAGAGGCCCATCGTCTGGCTTCAGCTCGTGATGTCGCTCGTCTCCACTCGAAGAGACCAGCCAAGGGGCCTCCCAACTTCTTACACAGCCAGTAGTCGTGCCATACTTCCTCGACGTTCGTCTTGCTCGCCATTCTATTGAAACAGTTGACGGTTGACTTGTTCGAGACTCTTTCTATGTCCATTATGACCCCTCTCTGGTGAAGTAGCAGTTCTCGACCATCTTTCAACGAGTTTTGCTATTGGGGCAGTACCATTTGGCTATCGGGGCAGTAATCCACTTTATTAGCTAATCAGAGCCTGCCTTCCGAACTCTAATTTTTTTGGCCCCGCTGCACCTGCCCACGGGCCACCCGGCGTAAATGCCTACGGTTGTAATTATTTACGGTCGTAGTTACGTAAGGTAGCTGCGTATACATACGGTTATAATTACCTACGGTCGCAATTTCTTATAATCGTAATTACTTACTTAATTATTTAATAAGTAATTGCGACCGTACGTACACGTAGTTACTTTATATAATTACGACCGTAAATAAGTATAACCGTGGGTAATTACGCCGGGTAGCCCGTGGGTAGGTATAGCGGGTATAGGTATGGGGCTATGGTCCGAGCTCTGGGGCTATGAGCCCTCATTGGTTTAAAAAGTGGATTACTGCCCCAATAGCCAAATAGTACTGCCCCAATAGCAAAACTCCTTTTAACATAAGGCGCACAACATAGCCGTTCAGCCGAAGCAACTCTCTAAGACAATATATCCTGAGACATTGTTCCGGATTAGACACGTTGAGGTTATGCAAACGGCTAAACTTCATTACCTATTCTCCTCGCTTAAGGAGTTTACTAAGAGAATGTAGAATCAAGTCCGTCTTAAGACTCCGTCTATCTTGGGACTCCGCCTATCTTAGGACTCCGCCTGTCTTAGGACTCCGCCTGTCTCAGGACTCCGTCTGTCTTAGGACTTCGTCTATCTTAGGACTGCGTCTGTCTTAGGGCTCTGTCTTAGGACTTCGTCTGTCTTAAGACCTCGTCCGTCTTAAGAGTTTGTTCGTCTGAGGCTTCGTCCGTCCTAGATCCTAGACTTCGTACGTATTAGAGCTTCGTCCTACTTAAGAATCTATCTATCTGAATATTCCGCCCGTCTTAAGGGGTTATCCGTCTCTGGAAGTTCTTAGTCTCAAGAATCTATCTATTATGAAAACTTTTCCGTCTTAAGAGTCCATCCGTCTTATAATCCGTCCATCTTAAGACTACGTCCGTCTTGAGACTACCTTATGTTCGTCTTTAGACTACGTGTATCTTACGTATACGTTTTTACTTTCTCCTAGAATGTCGTCTTAAGACTAGAGTTGTCTTAAGACTCTGCCTATCTTACGTATATGTCTTTCCTAAGACGTCTAATTTTAGTTTGATATCCGTTTCATGCCCACGTCTGTCTTATGATCACGTCTGTCTTGAGACGTTTTATTAGCATTAAGCTACGAATTATATGCTGCCCTTGATTTCTTGGCCTCCTTCCCCGCCGACGACAGTGCCTCCCTGGAACACAACATTCCGGCACAAATCATGCAGATCAAAGCTCCATGGGCTAGACATCTCAACGAGTCAGCGGAGAGAGTGTTAGTGGTGCTGGAGTCATCTTCATAACTCCTGAGCAAGATATTATCCCACATACTTTTTGTTGTACTATCTTTGCATCGAAGAGGTAAACGAAGCACCTATCGTCGGGTTCGCTTTAGCCCTTGGCATGGATATTAGAGGTGATGAGGTTTTTGGGGCTGCTCAGTTGACAACAAAACAAGTGGCTGGCAGTTTTGCGGTCCAGCAACCTCACTTTTCCCCCTGATTGTGCAAGGATTCGAAACTTGTACGACGATTTGACAATTTCCCGACTCCTCATAGTCCTCGAGCATCAATATTTCTTCCTTTCTCAGAAGGAATGTTGATGGGATTGGCACGAAGATCATACAATGACTGACGTCTAGATTTCGTCAACTGCATGCTTGATTAGAATTTCTTTTCTTATTACAGGGAAGCTGCCAATTTGTGTGCTTCTATATCTGAGTGGGCTCTGCCCTTGATAAGGTAGTTATCTCAACCCCCTGCCTTTTCCCAGTCTTTGCATGTGCAAAAGGTCGGACCCACTAGACTGGCAACGGGTAGATCAGGAAAGGTTAGAGGCCGAGGACTTAATCTGAAACCAGGTTTTCGAATTTCCACTTGCTCACCTAATGGTCCAGCATAGGGCTCGAATCGTGGCTCTTTTGTCTCCTTCCTGCTGTTGCTCTACGGTTGTGGCCTCATTCTTTGCAAATATGTCTTGAATTCCTAACCCAGCAATTGTATGTAGGTGTTGTCCGGGGGCAGAAAGCCATTATGAAAGCTGAACCGAACTTTTTAGAAAAGGGTTTCCAAAGGAAGTGATGTCTCCTAGGCAAGACCGCTTTCTTGCACAGATCGACTCCCAAGGAATTGGGGGATTATTGGAATTTGGAACTTGAACTCGAGGCCGGCTAGCCCACATTCCTCAACTCCTCCATCAGGTCATTGAAGTATGGATTGGTCAAGGTGACTAACAAAGCAGGCTCTTTCCTAGCGGGCCTTGCCCGCCTGAGTATTCACGCTGAAGAGCCCAATTCTCTCAGAACCAGTCATTCCCTTCAATACTTTGACAAAACCTAGAGCATGATCCTGCAAGCTTTTCTGCATTCGATTTGCGTTCTTCCAGAACGCGATTAGAGAACGAAATTTCTACCTCAGAGGACTTGATTAATTCAGGTATTGGCTTGTCATGATCGTCTGGTGAATATCGGCTTGTATTGACCAGCCAGATTCCTGCATTTCACTCCTGAAAGCTGCGTTGGAGGTTTGGCTTCTCTCCAGCAGCACTATAGGAGTGCCCTGCTCATCCATTCGGCACTTCCAAGGTTTCTTAGGGACTCTTTACCATACATAGCTTACAACATGGGTTCTTTCACTTGTTGGCTATCGTTTCCGCTTCTAGACTTCTGAGAGATGGAGATAAATGTCCGCTTAAGGTCTTGAGCCACTCTCTAGCAAGAACAGCACCTCTTTCTTCGTTTCATGACACTCCTTCTTCATCTTACTAGACGTTAAGCCCTTCGTTCCATTACATTCTATCTAAAGGAGCTTACCAACCTGCCTTCTTTCTGTTCTCGGCCTGGTAAGATTTGAGAAACCAGACCTTTGCAGATTCGCCTCTTGCTTTCATCACTTCCAACACATCACGTAACTGTTCTCTATAAGTCCGAGCCCTCATACCATAAGACGGCTCTCGTTTTTGCATACTTCAATTTGGATGCAATTTCACTTCAATTCCGTTTTCTTGCCGTTCTGAGCCGAGCATTACTTTCGTTACGCAGCGAGAAAATGCTATACTCCCGTGTGAAGGTTTTGGCACTAGCACCGAGTCCGTTGTTTTTTCTGACCAAACGCTTCGCCTTCAACTGCCAGTCAGGTCTGTTTCTTACTGATTCAGGTATCTTCCGCAGTGTTTTGCAGCCCCAGAATATAAGATTCATAGCGTAGAATCCCCCTTCCCCCTAATCTTAATTTCCTTTTGATTTTGCTTATTTTCTTTTTCTCCCCCCGCACGCAAACATCAGTCTGTCATGCTTTCGTTTCCCCCTGTTCTCCAAGGAGCAGAACGGCAGGATCCAAGCGAAGATTGCCTCTCATTTCTGAGACCAAAACCAGCGTCAGGCGACACAAGCAGAAGGAGGTACCCCGTTGACAGCTGGTGGGTCCCTAGGCCAGACTAAACCAGACCGAGCCCAACTCGACTGAGATGAGAATAGGCCGAGAAGAGCGTTATAGAAAGCTATGAAGGTTCATAGAGTTTCGAAAAACACGGAGCGGACTGCTTGAACTGTGTTATCAACGTGGATGTCGGTGGTAGGACTGAGACAATAGCCAATATGGTTAATGCCTCGACAGCCAAAAGCATTGTACTGCCAACGGCCTACACTCAACACATCGTCAACACGCTACTTGGCTAACTTGAAGTTGAACTTGGACATCGGCACTAAAACAAGGAAACGAGTTGCCTAATCTCTAAGATTGGATTTTATTCCCACTCTCAGTGCGCCGCCAGAAGCTTGCGCGCCGTTGCCATCCCAATTTAGCGTACATCGCGGCCGGTTGACAGCCTCCGCTTCCTGACCCCGGCTTTGTTAAGCGAATTCTGGAATAAGCCACTGGATGTGAGATTCAAAGAGAAGACGAGTGTTTCTGAAACACGGACGTTCATGAAATATTCTTATCGTGAAATTATTTTCCAGTCAACTTTGTAGACTTCATCGACTTTGAAGTTGGTATGATTTACCACCACCCCTCATAATCCGCCCTTGCCCTGTAAAACTCGATCTTCGATCGCCGCCTCGTCCTACACAAAGCGTTTTAACGAGTAGACAAACAAATTGGTTCTCAAAATGGGCAAATGGTGCTCCTGTCATTGGCGAGGTCCGCGAAAGCTTAAGATACCTTAGTCCACAGTCCACCCGAGCTTGGTGGTCTCTCCGGAGTCGCGGTCCTCAGACAGGAATGCTCATTTGTCGCGAGTGCAGCAGACCTTGCTGAACACTTTACTCTTCACATTGAGCTGCGGATGAGCATAGTCGAGACTGAGGTTGAAACATATGAGATGCTGGAGGTATTGCAATTCTTCTGTAACCGGGCGTCCATATAGTACTAGCCAGCATTCTCGCTCAGTGACTTTTCAAATCGCTGCTTTATTCAATGACCCCATCTTCTAGGATTATAGGCACCGGTAGTGATATTCTAACAACCCCAAGGAGCATGGTAAAATGATTGTTTGAATCATATCAGTATGCACAATGCTAGTACTGATCTTCGGCGGTTTTATTGGTAATCATAAGCTTCAACAGCATTCGCAGCACTCGCGACCCTACTTTCTCTGAGATGTTGCGGCCTGCTCTGTAGATTGTACACTGTACAACGCTTGAACGATGGCACTCACATTTCTTGTGCCCTATCCTTCTTTGCTCATGGTGACGGCGACCAATGGTAGGACGAATGACGCCGACTTTACGAGACCATTGCTAAGTCAGAAGCTGGAGTTGACATCTCAAAGGACAGTCATAACATAGCTGGC